ATCCTTCCTCTGATTTCCCTCTTTCATACTCCAATGCTGAAGTCACTCCCCACAGGTTTCAGTTCCCTTAGGAAACCCACTTTCTTCCATTCAGTAGAAACATAAAAAAGAGAGAAAAGTTTCACAGGGTGTCTGCAATGAGAGCACAAAAGCCCCCTTTCATTAAATTATCCCCTAGCATGTAATTATACACTTGATTACATACTGTATTATTCTCTGATTTTAGTCCTTGTTTTTCCACTAAATAGTTGTGTGACCCTGGGCAAATCGCTTCTCTTTTCTAAGCCTCAATTTTTCCCTTTGTAAAACGACAAGGTTGTACTAAATCATTTCTAACATCCAATTCCATCTCTGCCATTCTGTGTTCTACGAGTAGGAAAGCTTGGGGTCCAGTGCCTTTGTCTTCTTGCTAGCCTTATGACCACGGGCAAGTACCTTCCTCTCATTCTGGGCCTTGGTTCTCACCTCTATAAATGAGAAAGTTGGACCAGATAGTCTCTCACGTCCCTTCCAACTTTAAAAACCTAAGACTCAGAAATGCACCTATATTTGTGATCCATACATTGTTATTGTTCCGTCATTCAGTTGTGTTCCACTCTTTGTGACCCCATGGACAGATAGTACAAATAGCATGCTAGTACTTTCCATGGGGTTTTCTTGGCAAAGATACTGGAGTGGTTTGCCATTTACTTCTCCAGTGGATGAGACAAACAGAGGTTAAGTGACTTGTCCAATATCACACAGCTAGTAAGTGTCTGAAGTTGGAACTCAGGTCTTCCTGACTCCAGGCCTAGCACTCTATCCATTGAGCCATCTAACTGCCCTGTGTGTGTGTGTGTGTGTGTGTATACATATACATACATACACACACACACACAAACAACACATATATATATGACACCTACATACATACATACATACATACATACATATATATATATATATATATGATATACATATACACATACATATACAGTCCTGGAAATTGGTATTGATAGACAGGTAACTAAGCTCTAAGATCGTTAGGCTGGTTAGGGGGGATGGAGGGAGGAGACCATTCCAGGCTTCAGTAGTCTTGATTCAGGGAGGTCCTAAAGACAGATTGGAAAAAGTTCTGCTGACCACAGAATCACGGAATTTCAGAGTCAGAAAGAAAGAATCTCAGATGTTATCTCATCCAACCAGTGGCGGACAGAGAACAGGAACCCTCTCTACAATATAACAGGTGCTTCTGCTAGAAGGGGAAACTCGCTACCTATCATGACAATTCCAGTCTGGGACAGCTGTGATTGTTAGGAAGTGTTTCCTTTTACTGAGTCGCATCCTCAGCTCATTGAGCTCTAAGCCATGCAGGAAATCCGACTTTTTTCTCCACACAGATAAAAAGGTTGTGAAGGATGAAGGCCAGGGAGGGGTTGTTCGCAAGAGCTGTAGGAGGGGGGCAGCTAGGTGGTGCAGTGGACAGAGCACCAGCCCTGGAGTCAGGATGGACCTGAGTTCAAATCTGACCTCAGATACTTTACTAGCTGTGTGACCCTGGGCAAGTCACTTAACCCCAATTGCCTTATTAAAAAAAAAAAAAAAAAGACCTGCAGGAGGATAGAGAGGATGCTTAGGCTATGAACAGAGTCCAGGAGGGAGGTGTGGAAGGGACCTAGGATTCCCTGAGGTTGTAGGGATGGGCTATAATAATAATAATAGTAGTTCATATTACTTTTATTCTATGGATGAGAGAGGTTAGGTGACATGCCTAATGTTAAGTGACTCCAAATTCAGTGCTTACCATTATACTACATTGCCTCACAATGAAAATATCTTGGGGACATAATATAGACACATTAAGGAATGAGAATGACATTTTTTATTTGATTATCATTTTTTACACTTTTCAAAAGACTTTAATGTGAGGCAGCTACGTGACATAGTGGATACAGCACTAGGCCTGAAACCAGGATAGACCTGAGTTCAGATCTAGCCTTAGATACTTATTAGCTGTGTGACTCTAGGCAAGTCCTTTAACTTCTGTTTCCCTCAGTTTCCTCAATTGTTAAAATGGGGATAGTAACAGTACCTACCTGGCAGGGTAGTTGTGTGGATCAAATGAGATAATATTTGTAAATTGCTTAGCACAGTGCCTGGCCCGTGGTAGATGAGATAATATATATATATATGGGGTGGGGGCTAGGCAATGGAGTTAAGGGACTTGCCCAGGGTCACACAGTTAGTAAGTGTCAAGTGTCTGAGGCTGGATTTGAACTCAGGTCCTCCTGACTCCAAGGCCAGTGCTCTATCCACTGCACCACCTAACTGCCGCCGTAGATACTATATTAATGCTAATTTCGTTCCTTTCGTTATTTTATTTGATCTTCACCTGATGGAAACAAGGACAGGAATTATTACTCCCTAGTCACCAAGGAGAAAACTGCATCCCAGATAAAAGGGACTTTCATTAGGTCTCACCATCAGAGACAGCTTGATTCCAAGTCCAGGGACCTTTCCACCAGACAGACCATTTTAAAGACTGAATCCAGCATTCCCAGAGTTTCCAGACACCCAGTTTATGTGTAATGCTGTCCAGCTTCAAGGATCAACAGATGTACAAGGGAGCCTTGGAACATTCTTCCTTCCAAAAATGGCCTTTTTGCATCTGTCTCCTGATGGGCAAGCAGATTGTGGGTACTGCGGCTGGCCATATGCCACACATCTGTGAGGCCCTCACTATTAATCATCAAAAGGATCACAGGAGTATTTAACACTTACTTGTGTTTCTATCTAGCTGTGCCCCTACCTAGGCTCTCATGGTATCTGGTGGGCTTAGGGTCTGGGTCATCACAGCAAAGGAAGCCCCAGACTCAGGGCCTGTATAACGAGGGGTCCCTACTAGCCAAACAGGCAGGCTTTGGTGATAATTTCCAACACTGATATAGCACTTCTAACTTTTCAAAACACTTTCACATCCACTATTTTATTTGGACTTCATAACAACCTTTTGAAGATGGCTGGGCAGAAATTATTACAACTAATTGGAGGCAACTAGGTACAACAGTGGAAATAGAGTGCTGGGCCCAGAGTCAGGAAGATTTGACTTCAAATCCAGCCTTGGACTTATTAGCTGTGTGACCTGGGCAAATCACTTAACCTCTGTATGCCAGTTGCCTCAACTATAAGATGGGGTAATGATAGCACCTGTCTCCTAGGGATGTTGTGAGGATCAAAAGAGACAGTGCCTAACACATACAAGTGCTACATAAATGTGAGCTATCAGGAAAACTCATTTTGGTGAGTTCAAATTCAGCTTCAGACTTATTATTATTTATTATTATTAATAATTATAATCAATTATATATTTACTATTTAATACCATATTAAAATATAATTATAATTATAAATAATAGAAAATAGAAAAATATTTTTCTTTATTCTTTAAAGGAAGATGGGGCATATTAATATTATTATTATTAACTGTGTGACCCTAGGCAAGTCACTTAACCCTGTTTGCCTCAGTTTTCTCATCTGTAAACTGAGCTGGAGAAGGAAACAGCAAACCATTCTAGGATCTTTGCCAAGAAAACCCCAAATGGGATCACAAGAGTCAGATATGAGTGAAATTACTGAACAACAACAAAAACTTGACAGATAGAGAAATTGAGACCTAGAGAACTGAAGAGACTTACCCAAGGTCATAGAGCAAATGAGTAGCAGAGTAGGAACTCGAACCCAGGCCTATTAAATCCTAGACCCATGGTCTTCCCATAGATCTTGCTGCCTCTAACTGTAGTCAATAACTCAGCTACCTATTTTGTACATTATCTGGGGCATGTTGTAAGATACCCTCTCGATTTCCCTATCCTCGCTTTCCCTGCTGCCCATTGAAAGTGAGCCCACAGGAAGCAAATACTTTTGCGCAGTGGATAGAGTAGAGCCAGGCAAACTGGATTCTAGTGCTAATTCTGTCTTTACTGTGACCTTTTAATGCCTTTTTTCCCTTTCCTGAGTCTTGGTTTCTTCATCTTTAATACAAAAGTGTTGGACTGACTAATCTCTCAGCTCCCTCCCAACTCAGGCCTTTTTTGTTCTCTGTTCTAAGGTTCTTTCCAGTTCTGACATTCTGTTCTAAATGAGATTCCCTCCCATTCATAGAGTTCAAAGCATCCATCTGCTGTCTCATTAGAGTCTCTCGGCAGCGCAGAGAAAGAGGCAGGGCAAGGATTTATGCAGATTAGGAAGTTAAGGATCAGAAAGGGCAAGTGATTTGCCTAAAATCACAGTCAGTGACAAGGTTACACTACAATCCAGATGTTCTGGCCTCTGGTCCAAGGGTCTTTCTCCTAGAAATGGTTTGAGCCAGAGAAATAAGAAAGGTAAAAACCAACTAAATTGTGGGTAAAATTAATCCTATCCTGCACCCTGAGAAGCTGGACTGTGCATTTTTTTCTTTATTCTTTAAAGGAAGATGGGGCATAGGCTTCCAGAAGGGCTAAGCAAAGTGCAGGAAATGAAAAGGGATTTAAGGGACTTTGATTATTCACGTGCCCTATCAATACCCCTGTCTGCCCCCCTCCCCAAAAACCCCAACAACCAAACAGCCAAATTTCCTTGGGAAGCTGCCTGTGGGACATAATGGAATAGGAGAAAATGGGCTGCCGTTTGTTGTTTCCCTGACTGGGCTGACCAGAGCTAGGGTCAAGGTTCATTCTGAGGACAGGGTCAGGCCTCAGGGTGGGACTAGGGTTGAAACTCTCTGGAGCCAGGATCAAGGTTTAGTCTGTGACCAGAGGGAGCAGTAACGCTCTGTGCACAGCTAACTAGCCCTGTAAGAACTGACTCCCTTTCCCTAAGTGTTGAGTTCAATTGCCCAAAAGATGCCATTTTAAATAACTCAATATTGATACAGTGATGTGACTGAAGGATGAGAGTATGTGGGTTTGGCCCCAGGGTTAGGGGCTCAGCCAAGCCTTCCCCAGACCCTTCACTCTCTGATGAATTCTTTTTCTTTATAGGGAGGAAATAATGCTGGCCACACTGTGGTGGTTGATGGTAAAGAGTTTGATTTCCACCTGCTGCCCAGCGGCATCATCAACACCAAGGCTGTGTCCTTCATTGGTAAGCAGACTATCCTATGCAACCTCCACTGTTATGCCTTCAAAAGATTTAATTTAATTTTTTTTCATTGAACTAGAATCTGTTTTCTCTCCCTGCCACCTTTCCCCCTTCCCATCACTTAAGAGTGGGATAGGGGAGTAGGGAACTATGTAACAAATGTGCATAATAAAGTAAAACAAATTTCTCCATTGTCCATGTCAGAGAGAGAGAGAGAAAGAGGGAGAGAGAGAGAGAGATGGAGATCATAGGTCCTCTAGAATCATTATTGGTCATTAACATGATCAGAGTTCTTAAGTCTTTCAAAGGTCTTTGTCTTTACAATGTTGATATTCACCACCCCTTGGCTTACTAGCTGAGTAACCTTGGACAGGTCATTCTCCCTCTCTCAGAATTCTAGAATCTCACAGTTGGAAGGGACCCCAGAGGTCATCTATTCCAACCTGTACTTAATCAAGAATTCCCCCTTACCACATCACCAACAGGTAGTAGTGCAATGTTCACTCAAATGAGTTAATGTGTAAAGTATTTTGTAAACCTTAAAGTGCTATTTAAATATAAATGTTAGCTATTGTTTATTATTATTATTATTATTATTATCATTATTCACTTAAGGATGTTCAGTGATGGAGAATGCACTCCCTCCTCTTGAGGCAACTTTAAGGACAGCTCGGAAGCTTTTCCCTATGTCCAAACAATCTGCCTCCTAAATTTGGCCCTTTGGGACCAAGTAGCACAATTTCAATTCTTCTACATCAAACATCTGGGGCCTAAGGCAGCTCTGGACTCGGGCAGACCCAAGGTTCTATCTTGGAGACTTCTCATTAACTAATAACTCTTGCTCCCACCCAAATGCTTCTGGGCATTTCTGGCATGAGTAACTTGTATCTAAGTTATGAGGTCCGTGCTTGCTGGAAACCAAGGCCACCACTAAGTTTAGAAGTATGCACCATTTTTTCAGGACAGAAATGGAAAACAACACTACAAAGTAGTCACTCCCCATATTACCAGTGACTCCAGTCTTATTTCCCTCCTCCTGATTATTTTTCTATCCCAGGGTCTTAATGCCTTCCAAAAACACATAGTCCTAGACAAAGTCCATAATCTCTATGGCTGAAATGAGGAGCTGAGGACTCCGGCGAGGACAGCCTTTGCATCCCTCTCCATTCCTCATTAGGTCCTGCCAAGCTCTGCGGCTTATTACAGCCAAAATGTCTCCTCTCCCTGCTCTGCTTATCTCATTAACTCTCTATGGGTGGCCTGGGAGCTAAAGCTACCGCATTCCTCTGGTTTTCTTGGATGCCGCCATTGTTTTCTCCTCCCTCCACTTTGGATCCTCCTCAGCACCAGAAATCTCCTTCTTTTTCCCCACCAGTTAGTGCCGACCTCCAGGTTGCCTGGACTCCTGAGAAAATTAATCCCTGCTCTCCTCTAATCAGTACCATGTTCTTGAAGCTGGGAATTTATGAGAAATGTAGTCTTCCCCAACCATTACCACATTGTGTCCCTCCTCTGCACCTGCGCAAATACAAAGAAAAGCAGAAAAAGAAAGAAAGTAGAGGTATTTCTGAGTGTGTTATACTTGATGATAACTATCACATATCTCCTCCCTTCGCAAGACCAACCATCCCCAGTTTCTTTGACTGATCCTCATATAGTTTGATCTTCTGGGTTTTTTACCATCCAGATCACTCTCCTCTGAACACTTTCTAACTAATCAATGTCCTTCCTTAAATATGGTGCCCAGAACTGAACACAGTGCTCCAGGTGTAATCTGACCAACACAGAGCATAATAGACTATCACCTCCATCTCTCCTTTAATGCAGCCCAAATTAGCTTTTTTTTTTTTGCTAGTGTAGAACTGTTGATCCCTTAAGTTTGTGACCCATTAAAAGCACAGATCTTTTTGACATAAACTCGTATCTAGACAAACTTCTCACACCCTGTACTTGGGAAAGTAATTTTTCTTATCCCTATTAGATTTCATGTGATTAGATAAGGCCAAATATTCTAGTTTGTTGAGATCTAATCCAGATTTTTTTTTTTATCCAAACAATCACTATCAGCCTTCTGTTATCTGCAAATTTTATCAGTATCCAAGTCATGGATAAAAATGTCAGACAGAAAAGATCCAAACACAGATCCTTGAGTCACTGCCCTCTAAGATAATAACGAACATCAATTGCATCCATTACTTCGGTTCCAAATCCATACCACTATTATCTTGCCTGTATCTCTCCAGCTCTTCCACAATGACTTAACGAGAGACTTGGTTTAATGCTTTGCTAAAATCTGGGTAAATTATATGTATAGTCAAATAACTCAGTTGATAAAGGAAATGAAGTCAGTTTGGCATGATGAACCATGCTTGCTCTTTGTGATCGTCACTATAATCTCTTGAAAAATATATTCTGTAATTTGCAAAAAAAATAGAATTCAAGCTCACAAGGCTATAGATTACAGTTTCCATTTTCTTTCCTGTTTTGACAATGGAGACTCACCTTTTTTCTTGTCATCAAGCTCAACCACTTCATCTTACAGAGGAGGAGCCCGAGGCAAACAGGATTAAGTGGCTTGCCTAGCGTCACACAACTAGAAGTGTCCGAGGCCAGATTTGAACTCTGAGTCTTCCTGACTCCAGGTCTGGCAGTCTACCCGCCACGCCACCTAGCTGCCTTTTATGTGGCCTGTATTGAGGCAACAAATTCCTCCACCTACTCATTTAAGGACCTCCTCAATCTAGGTGGTGAAGTGGATTGAGTGCTGGACCTGGAGTCATGAAGACTCATCTTCCTGAGTTCAAATCTGGCCTCAGGCAGTTAGTAGCTGTGTGACCCTGGGTAAGTCACTTAACCTTGTTTACATGTTTCCATATCTGTAAAATGAGCTGAAGAAGGAAATGGCAAACCGCTCCAGTATCTTTGCCAAGAAAACCCAAATGGGGTCACAAAAAATCAGACACTACTAAAATGAATGAACGTGAACCATTAACAAGTAAATATTATTTTCAAGATATCGTTTCGTCTTTATCTCATCATTTCTAATGTTTATTTTCATGTGGTTTATAATACACATTAGTGCAATAGTACATGTGTATAATTTATAAATAAGTAAATATATATATATATATGTTAAATGCCCCCCCAAATTTTTTTTTGCCACTAAGAGCATGTGGTAAAAAGAGTTAGGAGACCACATATATAGTAATTTAATGTTTACAAAGCGTTTTACATTCATTATCTTATTTGTGCTTCACAATAACCCTGAGAGACAGGTAGTAGTAGTAGTAATAATAACTAACACTACAACCAGTATAATTATCCCATTTTCACACATAAGAAAACTGAAGCTTTAAACTGTTCACTCCTTCTCCTAACTTCTCTTTGTATCTTCAGAATTTCATCCTTAGGGGCTTCTGAGAGCCTGGGGACTGATTTCTCTGAAGGATTTTAGGCCCTTCTAATTTACTTATCCTTTCTATGAACCCTTTAAAATCTGCTCTCCCAAAATATAGAGTGCATGTTAAACTATGCCCAACTTTCTTCTCTTTAATCACAAATACTAAGGTGAAGTGATCACTTTCTTTTTCGGGTTTTATTTACTTTTCTATTTTTCTGGATGCCTTTCTCCCCCTGGTTGACAAGCAAAACAAATTCTCACATTGGCAGTGTCCGAAAACATGTCTCATTCTAAATCTGTCTTCCCTCTGTCAGGAGATAGATATCATGTTTTATCTTCAGACTTCTGGAATTATGGTTGGTCATTAGATTTATCAGAGCTTTTAGGGTTTTATTTCAGCTGACCTATGACAGATTTTGTTCCAGCCTCTTATTTTAACAGTGTGTATCTTATGTTTCAAGTGTGTTTCTTATAAACAACATATTGTTGGATTCTTCTTTCTAATCCATTCTGCTATGTTCTTCCATTTTATGGATGATCTCATCTCATTCACATTTCAGAGGTATCAGAGGTTCCTGGTACCTCCAACATACCCTTTCTCACTGTCTGGTGCAAGAAATTCCTTTCATGAGAGATAAAGTTTTTCAGTACTCAGTTAGAATCACAGAACCATAGAATGTCAAAGCTGGAAGAAAACATAGACCATCAGAACTGAACACAACGGACCAGGACCTAGGAGACCATGTAACGCTATGGAAAGAGTGCTAGGTTAGGAGTGAGAGAGCCTAGATCTAATTCTCACTAACTGTGTGACATTAAGCAAGTTACTTAACTTCTCCGGCATCAGTTTCCTCATCTATAAAATGAGGGGATTAGGCTAAGTGGCTTCCAAATTCCCACACAGCTCTAAATCTATCATCCTGTTATCTATTCTCTCTTCCTAATTTTACTAATGGGGAAACTGAAGACCAGAGGTGGAAAGAGATTTAGGATCATAGCAATTAGAGCAGGAAGAGACTGCCGAGATGATCTAGTCCAACCCCCTTATTTTATAGATGAGGAAACTGAGGCTCAGATAGCTGAACTGACTTGCCCAAGATTAAGTGGCAGAACCAGGATTTGAACTGAAGCCCTGATATCCACTACAGGAAGGTCTGCAGTGCCTCCACTTAAGGAGGATTTATGGGAGGGCCAGGACAAGGTTTGCACAAGGAACGAGAAGCAGGTATGTAGATTGGCTGGAGTGAGGTTCACTAGACAGACAAGATGGTGCCATGCCCGACTCTGAGGCAGAAAAGATAGGGGATCAGATTCTACCTTTGACTCCCACTCTCTGGGAGACTGTGGGCAAGTCACCAGACCTCAGAGCCTCAGTTTCCTCCTGTGTAAAACTGGGATGACACTTACAGTACAATCATCATCATCATAATCACCACCACCACCACCACCACCATCATCATCATCATCATCATCATCATCATTGCTCCTACTACTACCTTTCTCACAGAGTTTTTTGAGAAGCTCAAGTAAGATAATGAATTTAAAGTGTTTTGTGTGGGGGCAGTTAGATGGTGCAGTGGATGAAGCTTTGGCCTTGGAGCCA